GATTTAGTATCATTGTTACAGTCTCAGTTGCTAGACTTGGCTGCTGTTGCTTTTTATTCCTGATTATTGGTTTATTTGTTTATATATTTGTTTGTTTATGTTCTGCTTCATTATTTGTAACCATTTTGTTAGGATGGATGATCTGTTTGTTCCCTCAAGTATAAATGATTGGGGAAGAAAAAGGAGGAGAAAGAAGATGCCGAGGTCTGTTTATTAATCTACACGCATTAACATGTTCCACACTGAGCCAGTCATAGCTAGGAACCCTTTCTGCTTTTATATTATGGCCTGACTATAGACCCAAAGAGACATGCATGCTAGTGGACTGTAACAATCATTTACCATAAATCACAATGTTCTTCACAACACGACCCTGACAGTGTTCCTGTCTTATTCGGGTATTACTCCTATGATCACTGCTATTTATAATTGATTAGACTTTAAAAAATACTAAATGCCACATATTTGAGAAAATGTATTTTTGGAAAATTCTGTCATTTCAGCTGGGAAATTCAAACCTAGACGCTGTTGGAACAACAACAATGTATTCCGTAAGTGGAATTTAATCTTAAATGGTATTCTCCACAGTAAATTTCCGCATACGTTTTGCTGAGCTACTACTAGACTCCAACTGGAAACCGGTTTGTAGAAATATGAACTTTATTGTAGAATATTCAGAAAATAATCTTGCAGCCCCAAGATGTCTTAAAAAATTGAAGCATCAGCTCTAGGTGGCAGCAGAGTGCAGCGTCCAGGGAATACGATTAAATGAAGATTTTTAACGGAAACTACATTAAGGAAATTTATTAAGTTAAAACTGATTACTGTCTCTTTCAAAAATGCTGGGAAGATTTTTTAATGTTGGTTTGAAAAGCAATTCAGTCAGATACAGCTTCTGTCTTACCTCTCAGTTTGCTTTGTTTTACACTCCACAGGGGGGGTCATTTCAGAAGCAGCTCCCTCCATTTTTGTACTGATCCAGACCTGATGACTCCTGCTGGGGCTTCTGTGAAAATGAAATTGCTGCACTGAAATTGCACCAAACTGTGAACCCAAAACTGAGGTTTGTACCGAACCATGAGTTCTGTGTACCGTTACACTGCTGTTAAATATACACTGGAAATACACTTAATGTAAATCCTATCTTGGACATATGATCACATAGCTTAGGCTAATGTAACCTGCGTAGCCACACTACTGTTTTGCACTGGCTAGTCTAGAAAGGTCACACTGCAGATTGTCAGCGATTGGTTAGTTATTATTCTTCATTATAGTTACACCTACGTCACAATGACCAAGCAGTAGCAGCACTATGGTCTGTAATACTTGGTTTATGTTGGCCTCAGCTGGGGCCCCGAATAAGTTTCCCCAACCTCTTACTTGTAAAAGTAATATAGCACAACTGAATGGAATGAATTCGTAATGTAAATTGACACAAGCTAATGCTAATTCTGCTGGGAAAAAAAGATACAAGCACTGGAGCAAAAACTGAACAGATGGAATTATTTTTGTAGCTCAATTACATTTAATGCATCAACCTTTTTGCTTTTGTCTCCATATTTCTGCATTGGAAAAGTGGATCGATAATTAATATACTTTTGTCAAATATCTCTGGTGCCATTTTTTATTCTGTGGAAAACGAAAGATCAATCTGCTGGCCAGATTTAGTAAAATAATGCGGGCCATATAAATTAAAGACTGTGTCCTGTTTTGATTGCGATCAATCCACCAT